TACCTCTGCACATGGCAAATGGGGGCTTCCCTGGTAGCTCAGATGGTAAAGAATCTCCCTGCAATGTGGGAGACCCAGCGTCGATCCCTGGATCAAGATCGATCCCCTGGAGAGGGGAATGGCTATCCACTCTAGTATTCTTCCCTGGAGAATTCCATGGACAGAGGAGCCTAGTGAGCTACAGTCCACAGGGTCGCAAAGAGTCAGACAGGACTGAGCACTAACACTTCCACTTGCTTTCATGGTGCATGGACAGTATATAGCAGCTCTCACAATTTGGCCCACACGTGTCTCTCTGCACGTAGATCTCTAATTGCTTTCCATTGAAGGCTCTTATAGCATAAAATAGCTTTCAGACTCTCACAAGACTCATTACAGTAGGCTTATTGACTTATAGTTTGAAAAGTTAATTACTATTAACTTAGTAGCCCCACCCATGCACATTAATATAGAAATTCTAAAGAGGGCCTGAGGATTTAGAGCAGGGGGTGCAAAGACTCAGGCAATAATGAGAGAAAAGGAATAAAGAAGGAAAGATCAGAGCTTACTCTTTAGTTCTCCAGACAATGGATTGTCCAGATGTGTCTCTGCCGTGGCATTAACAATTACAAGACTGGTGAGCAGGCTCTGAGCAAGTCAAACTTTGGCGGATTTAGAGATTGTGCAGACGGGGGATGGGGCCCAGGAGCCTTATCTGCAAGCTGCCTGGCCCTTTATCTGTGTTTCAGGGCTCATCACAATATTGGCTGTGGGAGGTCGGGGCTAGAAGCCCCTGCCGACAGTGATCTTATCATTCCCTGTAATGCTTTCATTAATGGCTGGCTTTGCCTGCTCTTTTTCCAATATGTTGCACACCAATATAATTTCTGTCAGTTACCAGGCCTTGATGTCATCTAGGCTCTGGAATTGTGTTATTGAACTCACATTCATTGTCAAACCTTTTTAAGATAAACCTATCTTCCCTTATCATATGAATGTGTTGATTCTCCTTTGCTGTGTATAACGAATGGCTTTTAGGCAGCTGTAACACCTTCACCGAAATATTCATTCATTCTCTCTCCCCTTTTCCCTCTCTCTGCTCCTGTGTATGTGTCCATTGCCTTCCTTTCTTCTCCACTTATCTCCCAATTTCTTTCTCTCTTTTCTGAAGAAAAAAAAAGGAAATTTTAAAAATTCTCTTACAAAAGACTTTCTGTCACAGAGGGAAATCACTATTAGCTTGAGCGAGTGGCGGTCACTGTCTGGGGCCTCGCTGTTTGGGAAAACATCCACTGCTTTGAAGCATGCAAGCGCCGACTAATCGCACCCAGCCCATCACATCCGGCTTTCTCCACTCAGCCCAGCCTCACACTCCCTCACCAGAAAAAGTGAAACTGCAGTGTCAGGCACACAAGATGTTGCAGTAAGCTGAACTTGCATAAAATAGGGATTCTCATTACTCCAGTTTTTAAAATCATAGCTGTCTGCATACAGGAAGAGGAGGAGGGGAGTGCAAGGGGTTGATGGTATTAGTTTTGATGGGGACTCAGGGCTGAGTGGAGCTTCCCTGGTAGCTCAGGCACTAAAGAATCTGCCTGCAGTGTGGGAGACGTGGATTCGACCCCTGGGTTGGGAAGATCCCTTGAGAAGGGAATGGCTGCCATTCCAGTATTCTTGCCTGGAGAATCCCATGGACAGAGCAGCCTGCTGGGCTACAGTCCATGGGGTCGCACTTGGACACGACTGAAAGAAGAACACTTTGCCCTTCACTTTCAGGGCTGGGTGTTTTGCTCTGAGTAGAAATTGTAGATAGCCCTGCTCAGAGGTGAGATGAGGCTGTGCAGGGGGAGCCTGAAGGCAGCTGAGGTTCACTGGTCTGTCACTGAGTCCTTGATGGATGATGACTGATTCTCAGATCTGAATTTGAACTTGACCATCTGTCGACAATGGTGCTGTCATCATTTGTTACTGCTATTCCTCTGTGTCTTTTTTCTACCTGTACCATGCTACTACCACGACTTGTCAGTTCTGCTTTTTCTGTTTTATGGCTTGGATACTTTGCTTCATGCAGTGGATATACTTTCTGAAATGTTGTGAATAATTTATAGGATATGCCTTCTGAAACACTGTGACTAATTTGTGGTTTTAAGTAACGTTAAATTCATCTTAATGCAGAAAAGTGTAAAGAAGAAAACAAAGTGGTCTGACATCCCATCGACTGCATAACTCTGCTAATATTTTTCAAAAAATCAGAGTATATGTATTTACATAGGACAAAGGTGTGAATAGTATAAATACTACAATTAGTATAAGTTGTGTATCAATAAGCACCCCCACTTTCCTTACCACCACTTCAGTCCTTAGCATCCCTCCCAACATTAGGGTCTGTGCAGGGTAGAAAACACTGTGATAAGAATACTGCAGTGAATAAGGTGTCACCTGGGTCAAAAAGAAGTTGTCAGTCTAATGGGTCAAAGAATCATTTGACCTACTGTTTGGCGTGCATTTTTTTTTTAATTGTTGATATCTGTATTATTATTTTTTTTAACTTTTTGTTTTATTTTGGAGGATAGCCGATTAACAATGTTGTGATAGTTTCCAGTGGACAGCAGAGGGACTCAGCCATACATATACATGTATCCATTCTCCCCCGAACTCTCCTCCCATCCAGACTGAGCAGAGTTCCCTGTGCCATACAGTAGGACCTTGTTGGTTATCCATTTTAAATATAGCAGGGTGTGGCCTGCGTTGTAGTAAAATTGGTCAACATTATAAGTCAGAGTTCACATAAAAACAGCTTCTCTTGAAAAATCTGAATAACTGTTTACATTGAATAACTATTACATTCCCCCCTGGCAGCCGTTTCCCTTGCAGAGGAAATGCTGCCCCATTAGCATGCATTCTCTAGCTTGCCACCAGCCCTGCCACTGCTTGCTGTGGACCCAGCACTGAAATCTGATGTCACTTGTCTCTTATCTTCATGCTTGCCCATTCTTAGAGTAGAAAAACATCTTTAGAACCCAGGATCCTGTCAAAAGTACAGGGGTAAAGCTACTCCAAGAGGGTCATAAGCTTTTTCTTATACCTGAAGGCATAGGAGTTTGCAGTTCCTCTTCAAAACCAGCAAAATATTCAAGCTGGAAAGGATGTAAAGCTAATCCAAGTCGCTTGCTTTTTACCTGCAGAAGTTCAGATACTTTCTGATTGATCATTATTGAGAATTTGAAATATATCAGCTTTAAGTTAATCCAGACTTACAGTTATATGAAAGGAAATTCATATCACACTAATCAGAATTTCTTCTGGTTTACAAACATTTCTGTAACATGCACTAGTTTATACTACAAAAGGGGGCAAGTTGATGGGGACTATTCAAAACACAGAAATGCAGAAACTGGTTACAGAAGTCATTCGTTCTTGGAGGTGGGTGGAAGAGAACAGTTTAGAGCAAGAAGGAGTGCCAATTATCAAAGGTTTGGCCCAGGGAATCAGACAGTCCATGTGAGTGACTTGGGCAGATTGCTGTACTGTCTGAGATCTAGTTTCCCCATCTGTAAGATGGAGATAATTATGCCTTATAGGTAGTGCAGATTAAGTTACATAATATAAATAAAATGTTTAGCATTATAGTAAAATGCATAAGGAGTAGGTCTATCATTGTTATTATTACTAATAATAATTCTGGATTCCCTGGTTTTTTAGTCAATTTGGTCTTTCAGTACATATGCACTGAGTCATGTAATCATGGATATGACACTTGAATTCTGAGTCGCATTTTTCTCATCTGCTTAAATTGAAGAATAATAGCTACCTCTTCTCCACCATAAGGTGTCAGGAAATCAACTACAAGTGTGTTTGTGGGTTCATGGGCTTCCCTAGTGGCTTAGATGGTAAAGAATTTGCCTACAGTGTGGGAGACCCAGGTTCGATCCCTGGGTTGGAAAGCTCCCCTGAAGGAGGGAACAGCTACCCACTCCAGTATTCTCTGCCAGGCGGGCTACAGTCCATGGGGTCGCAAAGAGTCAGACACGACCGAGTGCCTAACATTAGTGGCATTCGTAGTACTGAACAAACTGTTACTACTTTGTTATTAGTTTAACCAGGAACATTTTAAATTAGGGTTTTAAAAGATGGCTGAGATGTCCCAAACTACTTATCCCTCATTAAGATTTACATTTTTCTCCAGCTCAACTCATCAGGTGAATTCATTGAATAATGTTAGCCAATAAAAATATTTAGATAAGTCCAGAACAGATTTTCTTGTGTACTTTTACTTTGCAGCCTAGAAGTTAAATGAAGAGAGAACATGCTGGTTTAGAGGAATAGGCTAATGAATAATTGGCCTTTGTGTGTTCTTCACTAAGGAAAACAAGAATTAATAGAACAACACAAAAGCATGCCTGCTTTGCTGAAGTACACATGGAGGTCAGAAGTAGACACAGGTTGCTCATGTAATGGTCACCATGATGCATTTATTGCTTCCCAGTGTGCCATGGCTTTGGAAGCTGTTGAGGATGGGCACCCTACCCATGTTTCATTTGCATTGGCCCAGAAGCCTGGACTGGAGGAAAGAGCTGGGGCCAAGCCTAGGCTGGACTTCCGCCTACTTGCTAACAGTGTGCCTATGAGCATGCCTATACATGTACAGGGGGGTCCTTACGTTTTGATCAGTGTATAAAATGCATTTTGCTGCAGTTGGGTGTCTCCCTGCTGTGGCAATGTCTAGAAGATGTTGTCCAGTGTGCTATTGAACCGGTTTGATACACTCAGAGCAAGACGGTGGGTGCTTAGCGTAATATTCGATCAGGACCAAAGAGAGTGTGTGATTCTTTATCACTCCTCTGTTAATTTGTTTATTCAGCAAATACTGAGGTCTGCAGTACTCTAGACTTCAGCATTAGAGGAGGAAGAACAAGCAGGTGATAGTCTTACTCTTGTGTAGTTTATGTTGTACAGCGGAAGATTGGTATTAAATAAACTGCTTCAAGAAATAAGATATTTACATACTTATGTGTTCTGAGGGCAATAAAGGACATCAAGAGGAAATTCGATTCCCCCGTCAAAGAAGGCCTCTGAAGATATCATGCTTGAACTGAATCATCACCACGTGCACATCAGCCAGTGTCAAGGACCAGGCTCTATACTAGGCAGAGGGAACACAGAGGCCCGATGACAAAAGGCTTGGCATGTTTCCTCTTGGGCATAATGTTTTTCTGGCATTTTTCTCAACCACAAGGTATTGCATTCTGCTATTCTGTAAGATTAGATTATAAATTATCTCTTATAATCCTGAGCTAAGACTGCAAAGTCCAAACAATAAGTTGTTTACAGTGAAGCATCATGTTTTGTTTTTGATCACGCATGGGCCTCCCCCCAGGACACAGGCAGGTTTCTGGGGAGGGAGAATGGTAACATTTCAGTGATCCTCAAGGCTGCCTGCAGCTGTCATTCTGCCATCTGGGGCTCACCCCTTTTGTCCGATCTAAGAGTCTATTGTTGTCACAGGCAGTTTCCACTTTCTCAAAGCAGTGCATTCCTGAAATCCACATCAGGAGGTAGATTTTATTGACCCATAGAAACAATGGGATTGTGTTCTTGACAGAGAAGTTAGCAAGCCATGAATCTTCACGTGTGAGTGAAGCAAAGCAGTCACACTAAATCTCTCACCCAGAAACGCCCTTACTGAACTATGAGCCCTTGAACCAGTTAGGATGCCACGAGAAGAAATGACAACACAACCCAACATAAAAAGCCTTAAAGAGGAAGGACATTTGGTGTCTCCCAGAACAAGAGCAGGGTGAGTCTGGGCTGGTTCGGAAGTCCTGTGATGTCTCAGGGCTCAGGTCCCTCACCCCTTGGCTGCTCCTCTTGGGCACAGAGCCTTGATCTGAGCGGTAGCCACTCCTGGTACATGGCTGCCACAGCCCCAGGAAACACAGGAGCCACGCAAGGCCAAAGAGACGGGTTGTGTTCTGCGTGGCGTCTCCTTCGGTGAGAGAGAAAGCCTCTCCCAGAAGCCCACGCAGACGTTTCCTTAAGTGCTCGTCCATGGAGCACCCAGTGCCCCTCCCCACTGCTTTCTAGACACCAGGACATTATCCTGAATTCTCCCCTCTCCTGTATTTCCTTATTCTCTATCACCTGTCCCTTCTGATCTTCAATAATCTGTCTCTGATCCTCAATCCTTTTGTTTACTACAGTATTTCAGATTCTCACGAACTCTCCCAGTTCTCCCTGCTTCCAGTTTACCTTCCGCAAAGCCACTGGTGTCATCTTATAAAACACAGATCTCATCATATCACTATCCTACTTAAAAGCCTTCGGGGTTTTTTAACCCATATACAATTAAATCTCAATTTTTTTTTCTGACCATAGGTATGACCTCTCTCTTTAAAAAAAAAAAAAAAAAAAAGATACATGGCAGCTCAATTAAGATAACAATGGATATAGAGCTGCTGTGACTGAAATGGGGGTGTGGAAGGGGCTCATAGCTCATCCAAGTGGATCCTTTTGCTTCCCTCATATGGGGACCTCAAAGCCCTTTCTGGGCTATGATTTCTCAAAGTGCACCAAGCTAGAGGAGAAGGGGGTCTTTGAGTTAAATAATGCCCCCAAACCATGTAATACCCCAATAAAGTAGTGTCTCCATTTCACCTTTCAAACTTCTGAGAGTCTGCCTTCTAGGAGAATTTGTGCTGTCATTGTGATCAACAGGTTAACACAAGCAGATGCTTGAAGACAAAGTGAGGCCAGTTTAACACCAGAATGCAACTAATATCAAAAACTAAGAATAACAATTTCTAATCATATGGATTGTTCTTATGGTTACATTTTCATTCTTACAGTTTTTTAAGATGAAAGATTTGTGATTTGCTTTGATAATCCTGAGATTAGTCTTTTTTCCTTTCACAAGGCCTTTCATATCAGACATCCTGAGACGACCAACATTTCATGCGTTTCCCTTTCTAATCAAGGCACTTTTGAGCTACACAGGCTTTAGAATGGAATTTCGAATAGAACTATGTAATAGCTGAATATACTGATTATTCTCCTCCCTCTTGATATCAACCTGTATTTATTCTTTATGTCTATTTAAGAATTCAGCCTTTGCTATTGTTCTATGAAGAGAAAGAGCTGTTTAGATGCAACTTACATTCTGTTATGGAATATGACCTTCTTAATGAGGAGGTTAAATATTAATGAAGACTAATTGGTGCATAATTTTAACAAGGAAGGTCATTATCAGTTTGAAGCAAGAGCTTAATGGATTGTGCGTTTCAGCAGGTATTTGCATATTTAGTGACACTGTCAGAAGTCAGGGAGGAGAAACGTGATGGGCTGAACAGAGGGTAATGGGCAGGTAAGAAGGACAACCTCCAACTAGACCAGACTCTGTAGTTCTATTGCTTTTATCCATTCTTGTTCCAGGAAGAGTTTGAGGAAAGGGAACGTGTCCTTTTGTGTCTTTGTAGCCCCAGGCAAACAGCTCTTCACTCTTACTTCCCTTCTGACTCTGACCACCTCCAGTCCCCACCTCCTATTGGCCTAGGTGTCATTTCCCTCATCCCAGTAGGCTTTCCTGCCTCTCCCCTGATGGTCTGCCACATCACACCCTGGAGCTGACCTATTTCTGGCCACTGGTCTTTGCTCTCAGACTCTGTGTAGACTAGTTTGCATAGGCTATGCCCCTGGCTCCACAGGATCTGGTTATTACCATCTGTCATCTGCTGGTCTGTCCAGGTGCTCCCAGCGAGAGCCCACCCCCCATTCTACCCACTTTCAACTGGGATTTCACAGAACCTAAGCACCAACAAGAAGCAGAAAATAAGTATCCATTGTCTGAAGCTTCAAGCCAATTCTGATTCTCTCCTAATCTTTTTAAGTGTGATATGCACTTAAATCAAGAGAACCAGAGACAACAATGATTTGGGAAAATGATAATCTTATCCTAGCCGATTTCAGTGACACTCCAACATGGTTAAGAAAATTGACTGTCAGATCTGATCAGTGTTGTTGAAGTGAACAGCCCTCCTTCCCAGAGTGGCAGGAGTCAGATGCTGACCCAGCAGGAGCAGTGTTAACGCCTGAAGACGCCAGTAACCTTGAGAAGCAGCTTAAGCTCCAAGCGCCGCTGACCGCCCATGTGGCCTGTCTCTTCTGTCTTGCAGGTACGACGTGTTTGATTGCCCTGCTATCAGATAAAGACCTCACTGTGGCCAACGTGGGTGACTCACGTGGGGTCCTATGTGACAAGGATGGGAATGCCATTCCTTTGTCTCATGATCACAAACCCTACCAGCTGAAGGAGAGGAAGAGGATAAAGAGAGCTGGTGAGCTTATCAGTGCCTCCAAGGACTGTGTGCTGTCTTGTTCAAGTGGCCAAGGCGGTTTCCAGGAGAGACACTCCTTTACCCAGTGAGGAGCAGATCCGTGCAAAGGCTGCAACTGAGGCAGCTGGGACTGGACTTTGTAACATTTCCCATCAAATGTGTGGCCACTGAATTTGCCCTTCTTCATGGCCAACATGTACACAACAGCCAAAAAAAGCCCTTAGTTTAAAGGCTAATGGGATCTTTGGGCCATTGCTTGCCACACTCTGCTTCCTTCCAGCCATGCCAAACTACTAACCACCAAATGAACCATGGAGCTGACACGTCTGTGCCTTTGCAAGTGTTGCCCACACTGTCCAGTGGGTAATAATGACCTTGCCCTTTAAGCCTTGGTTTCAGGATGCCCTTTTGGCAGCCTTCCCTGTCACACTGAGCCAAAGGCTTCCCCAGTCTGGCTTAGGTACCCCTTCAGTCTTTACCTGGTATCCTGTATGAACCTCTTGGGTCACTTTTCACAGGATGTGGACATATCTGGCCCTTTCATCTGTCTTGCCTTCCTGACCATGAGTTCTTTGAGGCAGGAACTTTGGTCTGTTCATCTGTATACTCCCAACTCCAAGCTCAATACCTAATCTAAGTATATATGTCAGTTGGAGGAGGGAGAGAATCCCTTTTTTATTTTTTCAACGTCTAGGGGCTGGAGGTACAAATGGACATCCTGGAATTGAGAAGGGGTAGGGGATGGAGTAGACAGATATTATTAAAGAGCTAAAACAGGCAAATTATCTAGTCTATTACAAGGTGATAACTGCTATGGAGAAACACAGAACATTAGGGAAAGGGGAGTGTTGGGGTGGTCAGTGTGGGCCTCACTAAGGTGACATTGGCAAAGACTTGAAGAAAGAGGATCAGTTGATGATTACCTTTTCACAGTTAATTTGGAGGGATTCTTTTCTACCTGTAGGCTTTCCTGGTGGCTCAGATAATAAAAAGTCTACCTGCAATGCAGGAGACCTGGGTTCAATCCCAGGGTCAGGAAGATCTCCTGGAGAAGGGAATGGCAACCCACTCTAGTAGTCTTGCCTGGAGAATCCCATGGACAGAGGGGCCTGGTGGGCTTCAATCCATGGAGTCTCAAAGAGTTGGACACTACTGAGCAACTAACACTTTGTTTTTTCTACCTGTCCAGAGGAGGACCCCTTCTCTCCCCAAACTGACCTCCACAGCTTGTAGCTCCTGTGTCGCATGCCAAGTGGCAGGCCCTGTTGCCCAAGGGAGCTCAGGTCCCCCAGGTCTCTGCCCAAGAAGTGCCCCTGCCCTCTAGGGGAGTCTGCAGATTGACCATCAATCTCTGCACACCAGCTTCTGCCCAGAACCTAATCAACATTTGAGTTCTCACAGTGGGAAGCTATACTGTTGAATCCAAAATCATTGAATTTTATTACAACCTCCTGCTTCAGTGACTGCTTGAGATGCAGAATAATTTTTAATGAAAGCACTGGACAGGTTTTATGTCAGTGGGCCAGCACAGTGTTTTAAGAACACCTGTCAAGCTTTGATGATCTTCCTTGCTTATGAAGGCAGCATCTCCTCAGGCATCCACTGTGACCCTGGACTTGGGATACAGTCAGCTTACTCTTGAGGAAGCATGGTGGGGATGTATATACGGTACACCTGAGATGCCACCTTAGCGCTCTCTTCTGACATGTCAGCCTACTATATCCTCTCTCCTCCTCCCTGCCCCCACCTGGAAGTGATTATAGGAGCAAATTCAGACCGCATCTCCAAGGTTAATCTCACTGCTGTGTCAAGGGTGTACTTTACAGCAGGACTTAATGAGCAATGATGGGTTTTTATTTATGTGTGTTTTCTCTGGCCTCAGCCCTCCTTTCTGGACACCTATCCCCCTCCTGTTTGGTGTCACAATACCCTGCAACCTGTCTAGGTCAAAATACACATCAATCTTTCTGTTTCCCTGCCTTAAGCTGTTTGTACAACAGTAGTGATGTCAGCAGTCATTTACCGTGCATTCTACTCTGTGCTGGGAGCTACATGGGTGCTTTACATACACTTTCTCTTTCCCTACCTTATGAGGTTGATAATGTTATTCTCATTTTACAACCAAAGAAATGGAGCCTCAGAGAGGCTTGTGTGCCCAAGGACACGCAGCTAGTGAATGGTGAGACCAGAACTGAAACCCCAGACAGCGACTCCAGAGCCTGCGCTCTTGCCCGGGAAACCACTCTTCCTGTAATGTTCTTAGACATCCTGCTCATGGAAGTCGTACCTGTCGTTCCGTTCAGAGCTGAGCTTTAATGCTCACTCTGCCCAGATTATAACAACTGGAAATCTTCCCTCTCCCCTCTATCTGCCTATAGCATTTAACAGGTGCTAGGTTCTCCCTGAAAAAATACTGCTCTGTGCATGTAGCTGTTAATGCAGGTCAATTTTCCCTCCTGCCAGACTCTCTGCTTCTTTAGGAAAATGTCTAGGTCTTGTCCAACTTTATAGCCTGCAAACTGCCCTGCATGGAGCATATATTTAATAAATATGTGACATAACTTGCAAATGAACAAAGTTCTAGTTCCCTTAAAGAAAAAATAATAATAGATAATACTGTGAAAGTGAAGTTGCTTAGTAGTGTCTGACTCTTTGCAACCCTACGGACTGTAGCCCACCAGGCTCCTCCGGCCATGGGATTTTCCAGGCAAGAATACTGGAGTAGGTAGCCATGTCATTCTCCAGGGGATCTTCCTGACTTAGGTAGGTAGCGAACTCAGGTCTCCCGCATTGCAAGCAGACTTTTTACCAGCTGAGCCACCAGGTAATACTGAGTGCATGTTATATTCAGACACTGTGTCTACTGATTAATACAGAATAACTATTTCTCACAACCTCTCAATGGAATAAATACTATTATTGTCCAAAGTTTGCAACCAGGGAAACCAAGGATTAGAGAGGTTCTCATCCAAAGTCACTCAGAGCTAGAAGTAGCAGAGCCAGGAATCAGATCCTAGTAGACCAACCCGAGAGCCTGAGCCTTTAACGACTGTGCTAAAGTACACCATTCTTTAATCCCTATCCCAGCTGGGGAGATGTTTGTGATCAATACAGGCACAGCCAAGGGCGGCCTCATGCTAATGACGGGTCCCAGTAGTCATATCTGGTCCAGCCACCTGCCTTTCAGTGTTGTTTCGCTGCTGTCCCGGAATCCCCTCCTTGGGGCTCCCTACTATCAGCCACTGAACTGCTGAGGTGTCCTTTAGTTATTAATAAAACTGGTGCTCTCACCCATCCATCCCTCCTACCCTTGATACTCCTACTGAGTTAGTCCTGAAACCTTTAAGATGCCAAGGGTGAGGGCCCGAGGATCTACTGGTAGAGCATCAGACAGCAGGCCATGCAGGAGGAACACTGCTCCCTCCTGGCGGAGCCAGCAGGAGCACATGTGACCGGTCACACACAGTAGGTCAGCCCTTTGCAGGTGCGCATGAATCACACCAGGATGTGAGAGGGCAGCTGCTCAAGCTAACAGGCTCATTCTCTCTTTCCAGGTGGTTTTATCAGTTTCAATGGCTCCTGGAGGGTCCAGGGGATCCTGGCCATGTCTCGATCGCTGGGGGATTATCCACTGAAAAACCTCAATGTGGTCATCCCAGACCCAGATATCCTGACCTTTGACCTGGACAAGCTCCAGCCTGAGTTCATGATCTTGGCATCAGATGGCCTCTGGGATGCTTTCAGCAATGAGGAAGCTGTTCGATTCATCAAGGACCGCTTGGATGAACCTCACTTTGGGGCCAAGAGCATCGTTTTACAGTCCTTTTACAGAGGCTGCCCTGACAATATAACAGTCATGGTGGTGAAGTTCAGGAATAGCAGCAAAACAGAAGAGCAGTGAACCCTTCGGGGTCTCAGCTGCCTTAGACTAAAGGACTTTCAACACACTGGTCTCTTTTAATGTAGTGAAAGGTGTGGGAGTTACAATTAGGATCATCCATCCCAGACATGGGGTTCCCTGTCCCCAACTGTCTTAAGTCTATGTGCCGTATGAACAGAGGGTGCTCTTGGCCAATGTAGTTGAGAGGCTGGAAAATGGTTTCTTCGTGTTTTCCCAACTCTTTCATCCAATGTCCAAAATAGATATAGCTGTAGAGTCACATGTATGAAGTTAAAGGCGTATGTGCCACATATTCTCCTTTTACAGTTGCTTTCAAGATCCCTTACAGGGCCCTCCGATCATCAGACTTCGTGTCCTCTCACTGGAGCAATGAGCAGGGCAAGACTCCCAGGAGATGCTGTGGGTAACCCATGAGTCAGAGCCAGTGTGGCCATGCCCCTTGCTGAGAGGCAGAGCTGTCCCGAGGGTGCTTTGTCCTCCTGAGCCCAGCTTTTCTGCTCTGCAGCAGCCCAGAAACAGATTTGGAAATGGTTTATTATTCCACAGCTGTTCTTGAAAGCTGAGGGAAGTGGGGAGGAGAACCACCTGCCACCCTTAAGTCACCTCCCCCGCCTTCATTAGTTAAATAGACTTTGTGTACCACCCAACCAGTCTCTGTGTGATTATCCTAATCGTGCATGACCTTAACCTTTTGCTTACACTTTACCTAATGGAATAGGCAGCTGTTAAACTTTACCACCCGACACCGTGATTTTTTTTTACAGTACCAAGTGATAAAAGCAAATCGCAATACCGCAATTGCTTCTACCTTTAAGGATAGATGGGGAAATCACAGCCAAATAAGTCACAGCATCCCCTGGGAAGTTTGCTGCTTTGCATTGGGAGAGAAAGCTACTGAGGTTGCCGTCCTGACTTGAGTGCCAGCTGCCTGGTTTTGTGTATTTCTTTCTGTCCTAGTAGCTTTCGAGTGTCTCTCAAGCGGTGTTCTGAGAAGCAGCTGCATAGAACTACATGTGTGCCCCCTGAAGCCAAGTACAGGGTCCCCAGCCTCCTGTTGGAATTTGGTAGTAAATTACTGGGATGTGCTTCTGCTAGATGGTGGAAAGGCAGCAGTCTTTAATGTTTGGTTGCAAACCATTGAGTTATTTTGGAGCCAGACCTGCTACTTTTCATTTCTTATCACCGATGTCACATTTCCAATCTCAGTATTTTATTATTATGGAAAATGCTGGGCTCAAACAGCCAAACAAGATATTCACGGCATCCCCACCCTGTGTCTGAAAAACCAGGGCATCCACCTGGTTTTGTCCTTCCAGAGTGGGCATTTGTCTTTATGGCTTCTCCGAGGCCCTATTTGCTGACCACCTCCTCTTCTGCCTTCTTCAAATGTGGAAGGTTCTAGGAGAGAACTCAGGAGGATGCAAAGATCCCGTTGCGGCTGCCGAGGACTGTGATCTGTCTGGATCCCTTTGAGCTCTTAACCTTTCTTTGACTGAAAGAATAATGGTTTCCCAAGCGATGTACTTACTTTTGTAAACTAACATTGGAATTTATGATATTAGAATTAGAACTCTGGTTTTTTTTTTTTGTTTTTTTTAGGTGTAGCATGTTTCAGTACAAAATACCTGCCACCATGTTAGATTGGAGTCTCTGCCTCTTGAGAGGCACAGTGTTTGGATGTGTGTATTTGAGGTGGGGGTGGGGAGGGAGTTGTGGGAAACATGCTGGTTATGATCACTGATGGGATGGTTGGGCCAGGTGGCCTGAGTTTGTTTAGGGATTCGGGACATTCTGATTATGAAGTTACTGGAGCCCACTCTCTAACTGGAGTCCAGGAGTAAGCAGTGTCAGCATGTTACAGCACACAGTTCATTTTCCTTTTTCTATTTTTAACTTAACCCAGAATTCATAAATAACAATGGAAAGACCTTTTTAAGTTCTGTGATCATTGTTATTGCGTAAAATGGAAATGGTACTGTTTGGTGAAGATGAAGAAGAAAAGCTACTAAGTTAGTAAATCAGTGTTTCTCTGCCCTGCGAAATGTCTTAGTAGATGGTGCTGAGTGCAGGAGTGTGTGGCTTTCCCTCTGACTGAGGTTCACAAGGCATCTTCTAAACTTTTCTTTGTAGAATGAACCCATTTCTGACTTTAACCAAGTAGTGTGTTTATTTTTTACTGCCCCTTTCTCTCCCATTTTGGCTTGTAGATTTTTGAAACAGGCAAAAATAGCCACAATTTGATGAATAGTTCTGTCTCAAGTCAGGCTACTTTGTTCCCTTCCCATTCTCCTGGAGCTTGCTCGCTCGCTCTCTTTCTCTCTCAGCTGCCTCCAGCCTCCAGGGGTCTGCAGACCTCACCTGGGGTGCCCCGTGGCTCTCTAGCCAGCCGCCCCATTTTCTAGGGACAGGAAGGTTGAGTCTAGTTAGGGAAATTGACTTGAGAAGTTTGCATGTGAAGCTTCCTGAAATAGTACTGCCAAAGCTTTGGAACCGTCACCCCAGCTTCCTAGCCCAAGCTCGCATTGCCATTAGCCCCCATGGTGCCAAATTTTGGAATGGTTTTATAGTCTTTAAGAAATGAAGCTGGGAACCAATGATCATGTGCTTATGACCCCCCAGCAAGATGCCAAGCCCAGGTCTTCATTAATGCGCAGCTTTCCTGCTGCTCAAGCGGCAATCTGTACTCCTAAAATGGGTCGGAATTTGGTGTGGGGGGGGGGGTGGCGGCAGGGGGAGAAGGCAGGGAAACTTATTTTTAACTCACTGTATTTGCAGGTTTCTAGTAGAAGGAATAAATAATACTTATATGGAAAACTCTGAAACTAGTTCCCAAGACCGGCATTCATTTCATGTGACTAGCTTGCCCAAGGCACTTGACTCTGAGGTCACCATTCTAATACAGCATGACTGTACGTGTTACTGGTAATCAAGGCTACATTCTATTCCTTGCCTTGGACTGAAGGCATTGGCCTGTAGCATTTTGTCTGTGTGGTAAGAGTATTACAGAGTGTTTTACAGAGTGAAGGAGCATATGAAAGTGAAAGTGTTAGTCACTCGGTTGGGTCCCACTCTTTGCGACCCCATGGACTGAAGCCTACCAGGCTCCTCTATCCATGGGATTCTCCAGGCAAGAGTACTGGAGTGGGTTGCCATTCCCCTCTCCAGAGATTTTCCTGACCCAGAGATCAAACCTGGGTTTCCTGCATTGAAGGCGGATTCCTTACCGTCTGAGCACCAGGGAGCCCATGCAATTTGGATATTTAAAATGGGCCTTATTGCCTACAACCGTTGTGATTTCAACCCATGAACATTTTGTGCAGACAGGATTATGTGAGTGATGGCACCGTCAACCCTATCTGAAGTGGTTCTAGGAAGCTGATTACATGATTGAACTGGATCACTGCGATGTTCATCCATACATGAGGGGCTCACAAAGGGAGTGATCACCTCGCCAAGTACACTTCGATTTTCCTGACTCCCCCCCACCCCGCCCCGAGCTGTTGCTAGATCTAACTCTCTTGCAACTGGGAACACAGAAAGTTTAGAAAGGACAACAGTTCATTGTTCATTTGGAAGTACAGTTATCCACACTCTGGATCAGGTTTTATTTTCCAGTGATCTCAGAAAATTGTTTCCTTCCTTCGACCCAGTATGAGACTGATTTTGATGTTCCCCTAAATTGCCTTAGCTCATCACACCAGCATTTCTGACCTAGCTCTGCAGAAATGACATGACCATTTGATACCATACTAGGGCCTTTTTAATTGCCCCTGAGCATTATTTAACTCATTCACATCTAGACTTTGAAGCTAATTAGTTGAGCACTGCAGGAGTGTTCCCCCAGCATGTTCCACAGGATGCAAGGTCCAAAGATACCCTTCCTCATATAGGGTTCCAGGGTCAAAAGAGTTTGGGGAAAGATACTGTCTTAGAAAGTTAGTACGTATCAGCACATTGAAGGTTCTAATTTAAATATCCTCTGAGGAAAATTAAACCCCCCCACACACACATATGTAGTTCTAGTGTTTTCCAGATTCATTTTGACTGTGGAAACTTTTTTGAGTAACACCTAGTAAAAGAAGCTTGTGTTCCATAGGAATCACTTTGGGAAATTCTGCTATATGGAAATATTACTGTTTTCTCATTCACTGTGACTCTTAGCAGTTGCAGTGTAGTTTGCAATTTAGAAACACTCATCCTTTCATGGAAGAGGCTGATTTGTTAATGAAAGCAGTATTAAGAAATAGCATGATTTACTTTGACCTTCAGCAACCTCACATTGATAGTAGAAGCCCGGCAATCTTGCTTGAAACTCTAAACATGGGCTCCCTTCTTTTTGTATGAATAATAAGCAAAAACCTTGCTACAGCTAGGGATTTTTAAAATTCGTTCCAAGAGCTTTTAGTTGCATTTTTGAAGTTATCTTTGCTTTTCAGATAGTGATAAAATGTAAGTATTTATTTTGATTCTATGTGAGAGTAAGAAAATCTATTTAAAATAATGGAAAAGGGGGAATAGCAAATTTGGTATTAATTCATTTTTAAAATTCTAGCTAGACTTCTAAAAATTATGTATCCATTTTATAATAATGAAAATGTAAACTATTTACATTTATTTACTCTCTCTTCTTATTCATTCTAAAATCCCTATCCCATGTTGTCCCACCTTTCACATTTTATATATATAATTAAGTTTGGCAAGTTATTTCTTGCCTAAAATGTAAGGCTTGACTATAGCTCCATAATTGTCACTCTCAGCCTGGATAATATGTTCGGAAAGCTCTGAGAGAGAATCCATACCACAGAGGAAATAAATCTAGTTGAAAACATGGTACAAAGTGAATTTGCAGTAAAATCATTATCTTAAAATTACATCCAGTATTTAGGAATACACTCTTTATGGTTGTTATCCAAAATAGAATAAAACTGAAAAGTAAGACCTCTTAGACTCGGTGGCAGATTGCACAGAGCAAGTGATTGTGAGGTTTCCATTATATACCTGATTCTAAACTTGTTTTCTAGTATGTAAGTTTATTTGCTAATTCTTAATAATGTTGATGCTTTGTCCATTATTTTTTATTTTTACTGCTGTTAAGCCACAAACTATTTAACCAAGGGTTGATTATGATCATGTTCAAGTGTTTAGTAATAACCACCCCTTCATTTGTACAATCACTTCAATAAATCCAAGTTAAGGACTTTGAAGAAAGCATGTAGTAACTGTTCATTTTAATAGATCATCACAGGCATTTGCACAATTCACAACTCCACCAATAAAGATGTAAATTGATATAGCCTCTATGGAGAACAGTATGGAGGTTCCTTAAAAAACTAAAAACAGAATTATCATATGATCCAGCAATCCTACTAGGCATATACCCAGAGAAAACCGTAATTCAGAGAGATACATGCACCCCAGTATTCACTACAGCACTGTATTCTATAACCAGGACATGGAAGTAAACTAAATGCCCATCAACAGAGGAACAGATTAAAAAAAGATGTGGCACATATATACACTGGAATATTAGCCATATAAAGGAAAGAAACTGTCATTTGCAGAGACATGGATGGACCTAGAGCCTACCATACAGAGTGAGGTAAGTCAGGAAGAGAAAAACAAATATCATATTATATATAGGGAATTTAGAAAAATGGTATAGATGTCCTTATTTGCAAAGCAGAAATAGAGACAGATGTAGAGAACAAACATATGGCTACCAAGGTGGGGATGAGAGGTGGGATGAATTGAGAGATTGGGATGACATATACACACTATAAATAACTAATGAGAATCTACTGCACAGCACAGGGAACTCTACTCGGCTAAGATGATACATTTTGTGTGTGTTTTACAATTTAAAAAAATGTTGAAAAGGAAAAAAACACGACCAAAAAGCAAGCAAGTTGCAAAAATGTGGATTATATTTAGTGATGTGGTTCTGTTTACTCTAGAAGCCCTATAATCTGGCATTAACTGCCACAGAAATACCCTCTGACATTTGCTGAATCCAAATTAATCTCAGACCCTCCAAGGACCAGAGTCCCTAGCTTGGAGCACAGCCCTACGGTGAGGGCTTCAGTGGCAGATTGTGGTGGGCGGAGGGTTAGGAGGCAGGGCAGTCTGCCTGGGTCACTTCTTCATAGGAGAGGGGCCATGTTTCAGCCACATTCTCCCATCACCTTTTGTCATAAAGAAATTCAGAGGTTAAATGTGAGGCCATGCAGGATCTCAACATATTTCTATATTAATTAGACAAGGCATAATTTTAAATGTGCTCATGCAGAAACAAAGGTAGAAGTAATAGTCAAGGAACTAGGGAGTAAAAAACCTTTAGAGTAATCAGACATTAAAAATGTTAAAAAGTTGGTTATCAAAAATTTGGATTGTTAGAATTTTACTTGCATATGTTGTATTTAATAGCAATTGCTGACCTCTGCACAGAGACCCAAGTGCTCAGTTGTATATGACTCTCTGTGACTCCATGGACTATAGCCCACCAGACTCCTGTCCATGGAATCTTGTAGGCAAGAGTAGTAGAGTGGGTTGCTGTTTCCTATTCCAGGGGATCTTCCTGACCCAGGGATCGAACCTGCATCTCCTGCATTGGCAGGCCTCTCCTTCACCACTGTGCTACCTGGGAAGCCCATGCACACAGACCCATAGAAAGCAGTTTTTCTCAAATTCAAGGCTTCCCATTTTTAAAGTATTGGTTAAAGCTTTGCTTATATGTTAATAAATACAATTCTAAATCTTTTTATATGACTGATGGCCTAGGTAGAATAATATATAAGGAAAATATAGCTTGAAGCATTTTTTAATTTTAAAAAGTGCAAAATTAATTTCCAATGAGATCAAAGTCAGAATGTAAAGAAGAGCATTTTCAAAAAAATATTTAAGACAAAACCAAAGAAAAATATTTTCAATTAAGAAGACATTATATTTTATTAACATCATGAATCATTCTAATATTTGTGCTCTTTCTGAAGTTAAGTGGATAACACTGAAGTAAAAATGAATCCTGAGTTATTTGTATAGTTAGTAAAATTACAACCCTGTTCCATTCTTTGCCAGTGAAAACAGATACATGTGGTCTCATTTACTGCTCTCCTAAACTACTTTCACTGTCCTAAGTACTGTTTGCTTTCCAAAT